GGCCAAATTGTAACCGCCTCGGAGTTAAAGCCTTACCTTATTTAGTGCCGAAATCCAAGCGTTCGGACTATCGTCACACGAAGAGTGAACTGTTTTAGCGACAGACTTGCCGGTGACGATAACAGCATGTATATATATCAATACAGAATATAAATTGAAATAAATCAAAATCATCATTTTTATAATACAAAAATTACTGAAGACAACATCCAGTATATTTTTAATCTAGCTAGCGAGATTGGTAAGTAAATATATGCACATTGCATTACAGTATTAGCAAAATAAAAATAATAATTTTTAAAAGTACGTTCTCATGAAAATGTTTTTACCATCTGATTTACTATAAATCATATGGAAATCGTTTACGTACAAAGATTTGTTTGTTTTAAAATCAATTGCAAATTTTTACAGGTTTATAAACTTTCACCGAATATATTGTTAAAAAAATTTTAGAGCTATCGTGGTAAATAACTTTTTTATGCAGTAGTAAGCGAATTGAAAAAAGGAAAAATCTAATTGCACATTCTACTACTTTTGACCCTTATGACTTTTTAGAATTTATTGTATTTATTAATTAAAAAGATTTAATATTTTTATACTACTCGAGAAATAGTACTAGTATGATTTGTTGCACCCAGAGAAGTATTTTCTAGTAAAAATGATACAACGAAAAGATACTTCTGTACCTTTCAAAATCAATTAAATTCTAAATCTAATAAATTCTTGTTGCCACTGTATGTGAAATTTAAGAATAAAATAATCACAGTATAATTATTTTAAACCTTATTAAAATGCACTAAATTACCTTTATATGATCTTTATCAAGTGATTATTTAGTCATTTAATAAGTATCAATCTTTTTATTAATAAACTTTAGTGAATTTCAATTTAACCAGCCTAAATACTTCATAATCAACAATAGAAAAATTTCCAGCCACTGATCTAATTGTTTTTTCGTAAGAGAATATGGAATCAGCACTACTTAGATTGTCCTGAGTAAAATCGGATTTTTTTGTATGCATGGATAAGCTTCCGTTGTATCCAAAGAGTATGCCATACGCGTTTTGTTGAGAAGGAGATCGATTGTAAAAAGCATAATTTGGTTTCGTTACTCGACTAAGGATCGAATTTTGTATACTTCCATTTTTTAATGAAAAAATAAAACTATCATTTGTAGTTACCCAACCCCTTTTTGTTTTATTCCACGCCAAGGGATTATATCCACCTAGAATTTCATCCGTTCCAGATACTTTTAAAATTGTAACCGTGTTTGCACAGTTATGACACATATCCCAAAAAGTTTGTGGATTAAAATCATCACGACTTCCTCTTAAAATTAATTGAAACTCATACGGAATATCATTTAATAAATAAGTAGTAATTTTTCGATCAACCCATGACGAAATCTCTGCGGCATGATCATAACTAATGATCGCTGAAAAAGGCTCTGTTTTCATTTTTGGTAGATCCGGAACGATTGTTAATCCTACGGGTAAAATAACTGAAGTGATTGGTTCATCAGGAAATATTAAACGTTTATTGAGATCTTTCCAGAGTTGTTTATCAAGAACTTTCTTATAAGGCTCGACATGTTTCCATAAATCTGCCTGAGAAAACTGAAAATAGCGGATGTATGGCAAACAATTTTGTATAGTAAACTTTAAAGTTTGGAAGTCCTCTTTAGTCCATTCTTCTGGTCGAGGTGATAAAGTCTGATGCTTAGCAACACCCCATTGAATAACCTTTTTCCATATTTCGATTTCATCCATTTTTAAGTCGTCTCTCTTAAGAAGAGAAACCAAAGCCGTTTCGTTAAGAGAAGTAAAGTTTTCGGTATCAAATATAAGGTTCGGATATTTTACTATAATATCGTTGCAAAATTTTTCTAAACTTTCAAAACTCTGGTTTTTAAAGATTGAATGATAGACAAATGAAAAATGTGTACGTAACCAAGAAGCTTTGTTTTCAATAAGATAAATCTCTAATTGTTGAGATAATTCTTCAAATTTAAGTTCATCAGCAATCATCATTAGATTAAAGATAAATTTATTGTCTTTGTCTTCTAAGTTAACAATTCCTCCGTATACGTATCTGCAAAACAAAAGCATTGATGATTAACTTATATGACATTTCAAATAAAAAAAAGGTTATAAGTACCTAAGAATTACGTCAAAAATTTCAGCAGAAATTTCAAGCTTTATCATAGGCATATGACCCTCAACTATAATGTCCTTGGCCATCTCCTTACGAAAGTAGGTTGATCGAAATCGTAAAATCGCCGAGTGTGAAGTAAATAGTTTCTTATCCTTTTTGCCCACTTCAATAGTAACATCATGACCTCCTTTATCATTAAGCAAGTCGATAAAATCTTTGGACAATTTATCAAAAAACTTTAGACTCATATTAATGATGTGTTGAAATAAAAATACGTATTGTACAATAATAGACTTCTAAATTTATATATATTTCTTTGTTTGTAATAGGTAGTACAAAAATCTGTAAAAAGCAATTGATTTTTAAAATTTAGGAAATAAGGGTACATATTGTAAATAAAGTATTACTATACTGTATGTTATTAATTTATACTGTATATTGAAGTTTGTTTTAATTAATTTATTTTACATTTATTTTGAAAAAACTATTTTATTGTTTCTTATTGGTATTAAAATTAAATACACAATATTAATATATATATATTAGACAATAATAAGTAATTAATTTAATTTAAAGTTCAATTATTTTGTTATTTAATTATTTATTATATTAAAATATTAAATAGTATACTATATATAAATATATATAATATACAGTAAGTGGTTAATATGTTTGTCATTTGTATTTTATTTGTTTTATATTTAAATATACAAATAAGGTTGTTATTTACTTTAATTAATTGAAAACTTTATAAAAAATTTTCAACTATTTTAAACATAATATCAAGTGAGTATTTAACTTTTTGTTAAATAAACTTTTATTGGTTTCTTGTTTTATCAATAATATATTGTAATTTAATTATTTTTAAAATTTAATTATTTATTGCTATTGTAGTTTATATATTTGTTTGATCAAAGATTTATTAATTAGATTGATAGTATATTTGTTTAATTTAAACAAAATTAAAATTTTTTTACATATAATGAAATTTAATAAGTAAAAATTAACAGTTAATTTTTTTTTGCTATCTATATTTAATATTTATAAGCTGCTTTTGGTTTTTTTTTACTTATTTAATGCCTTTTCTATTTTAATGTTTGACTTTCATTTTATTCTAAATAAAATAAAATAATTGACATATAAATTATAAAAATTCTTGTTTTAATAAAAAATCTAGCATCTAATATTAATTTATAGTAACGAAAAAAATTAAAAACTACTATTATAATTATAAATATAAGTATGAAGTTAGATTTTTATATTGAATCTTTTGAAACATGGAAATTACAAGAAAATCAAAAATATTTTTCAATAGATATACAGTATATATTACTGTTATTATTATTATTATTATTAACTTTGTTACTAATTTGAATAGAGTTTTATATAACAATCAGATTTTCAAGTAAGTGCTTGAGTATTTTGCTTACGGTAAAGTCTTGATTATGAACTTTTTCCTTAAACTTTATGCTTCTTTAATATTAATATAAATGGTTTCTTGTTAATCATTCCAAGTAACTAGCTTATTTTCAAGTAAGTTTAGAACATACGTTATTACTATGGCAATTGATTGTTATCTGAATCATTATTAATCAATACGTTAAAACAAAACATCTATAAACTTTCTAAGATCATATTTGAAAAAATCATAAGAACGGTTTATGAATATTAATTTGTTTTTTTTTTTTAGAGCAAAATTTTTGTAAATATAAGAAACATTTATGCATGCGAAAGAGTTACGAGACTTTAAATCTACGAAATAACAAATTATCCGAGATGTAAAATTGTCACTGTACTCACGAAATCGTCACTTTTCAGAGTTTATTTAAGCCCTTGTTAAGTTTGTATTTACTGTTAAATGCGCGATGCAGTATCACTCAGACGTATGTAGGCAAGTAGTGCAAGACTGTTGGTTAAATTTAGCATATGAATACAGTAGTTCGGATGTAAAAAGCGAATTAAAAATATTAGATTTTTATATTAGAATTAATGTTTGGTTTTGGATCCTTAAGTTTAACGGACAAACCGTTGAAAGTATATATTTTATTGTATCTTGTACAATAATTTGCCTAGGATATTGTAACTTTAACAAGAATATAAAGGTTCAAGAAACAGAAGTGTACAAGTTGGCAATTATTAAGTATCAGTCATATTGAAATTACTTCAGAAGTTAAGATATGTGATGTAAAAATTTCCTAGGTTAGCGACAAAATCGCTTTTACGACGACGATGCTGCACCTGCTATACACAAAGCTATCTAATGTAAACCTATGTTTATTGGTTAGCGAAATCATTGTATTGTACGTTAATTATCGGAATACTTATTATACAGAATCCTGATTACAAATACTATCAGTAATTAAAAGTGACAACTTATATCATTTTTAATCTGATTGTAAAATCCTAAATTCTCCCGGAGTTACGATTGAAGCAACAAAATAAAGTTTTGACGGGAGATTAGTCCATGATGCAACTGGCGGATATCTTGTACCGTTGACTGAAAAAGCGACTGTCTTTTCATCCATGTTTAGGTGCACAATAATTTTTGCATTATCCTGTCCGAACTCTGACATTCCTCGAGTAGATGTTCTATTATGATGGTAATTCCCACTGGTACCTAAAACCCATCCATTTTGTTGATCTCCAGCAAAATAAGAAAAATCAAGGCCTTCACTGCAAACACCCACCCAAGAATTAAGACAAACTTTTTCGAACAGAACATGAAACTCATAAGTTCCATTACTCATAAGACAATTTGTTCTTACACTTTGATGTACAGCTATATTTTCAGTAGTGCTAATTGTTTGGCCGTCTTCACTAATATTTATATTTGGTCCGTGGCCGTTTATATCCCATTTAATATTATAAATCGGAATACTATAATATTCTGATAATGGTGATTTTTCGCAGGCTTGAAATCTATATGAATCCATAATTTTATTACTTGGAATAATATTTAATGGTTCAATTGCTTTTGCAAGAATCATTCCATCAATCCTTCTAAGATCAATATGCTCTATAACTGGATTTACAGCATCGGCAATTGACGTGCTAATTTCTCTCTCTGTTAAATTATTATTTTCAATGTCTTGAAGCGACGATTTCTTTACTTTTTCCCGTGGAGGCAATCTTTTATCCAGAATAGAAAATGCTTCTTCTGATACTTTTTTCGCAGCCGACAAAATTGCAAATCGCAAAACAGAGTATTCACTAGATGTGAATGTTCTCGTTTCATTCCTCTTTGATAATAGACATTGCAAACCTTGAAGTGATAATCTACCAATTTCAATAGAAT